GGCAGTTTCGACAGANCTTCGGCGATCGTCTCTTCCTTTTTATACTCCCTTGCCTCCTTTCGGGAACGTTCTCCAGCCGTCCAGAGAAGTCTCGTTTTCTTTGAACGGTTTAATTGCTTTCCCGGAACGCAGGTACGACACACACGTTTACAGATACGGCGCACATGAAGAAAAGCGCCCACGGCTAGTCGGCGAATCGATAAGCCGCTCACACACACACGTATGCCCGATCGCACACAGTCACGCTCGTGGTCGCTACAGTATGTTTAAACACGACACAATAAAAGATCACAGGCGTATAGTGTTCAGTCTTTATTTACTATGTACAGCAATATGATAGAGAAAAAATGTATATACAAAAGGAATGCAGTGAAATACAGAAAAATAGCAAGAGTTGAGACCTACGAATGAATAACGCGTTCTGATCTGATCTGGTAATTTTGGTTTTAATGGTTTATAAAAGGTTGTAGGAAAGTGAGTAATAAATGAACTTGAAACAATATTATATGAAAATAAATAAAAGTAAAACAAAAATACTGATATGCAAGGCAAGAAAAAGTAGGGAAAGAGCGAATATAAAGATAGGAGAAGAAAATTAGAAAAAGTGACTGATTTTAGGTATCTAGGAAGTCAGATAAGTCAGGACGGAAGGAGTAGTAGGGATATAAATCAGAGGATAGCGCAGGATCGAGTAGCCTTCAATAAAAAGAAATCACTTCTACGCTCGCGAACGATTAATTTAGAAATTCGAAAAGGATTGTTAAGTGTGTAAAAGAAACGGTTAGAAGCGTTAGAAATGTAGTCTTACAGGCTAATGATGAAGAAACCGTGGATAGAGAAGATTAGAAATGAAATGTTGTGTTAAATAATATCACCACAATATATATGTATATATATATACATATAAAAGTGATGTTTCAGTAACTACGGTGCTGGTTGAATTTCAAATTTAATTAACACAAGGGTATGTGGTGAGATTAATGAATTCCACTGGACAATTCCTATGTTATTCGTTTATTCTCATTCTGAAATTTTCGCCGTAAATCCTCGGCTTCCTCAAAACTACATAAGTTTCACAACATGAAACAACTCGGGTTCTTCTTCCCAGTCGCAGTGGTGGTTTCAGCTAGTGGTTAAAATACACCCAACTCTGTGTCTTCGCATTCTTTTGCTAGATGTTGTTCAAATTGGCTATTCTAACAGATATCGATTCGATTCCACTTCTTATGAGCGTACGTCCTGCCAATAATGCTCTCTGTGTCAAGTCTTGATTGTCTGATTCGACTAACCCCACCAGTCCGCCGATGTTATCGTTTATTCTGATTTCTACAATGCTCTCGTAGTGACTCTGTAGTACTCCATCTTCTTGTACGATCATTTTGGAGCTAACAAGCTTCGTCTTGGGATTTGACATTACTACTCTTCTAAATGTGCTCAAATTTAAGTCGATTCCATGTTCTTGAAGAAGGTCCAATGAGCAATGATGACATCATCTGCTATATCGGTCAGCAATACCCAACTGTATGAGATCCCAATTCTAATTAATTTCGACGTTGCATTCTGACCAAAGATCGAATTCGCCATTTCGATGCAATATCAGGGCGAACCTTGGCGTTGGGTGCCCCTGTATTGATAACCATTATAACATTATGTTTTTAGAGTATAAATAATGAGTTAGCGTCATTCAGTCTTCAAGTGATGACTTCTTCGGGGGCTTGTTTAGGGTCAGCCAACTTGCGTCATACAAAGTTGGTTAATCCTACATATTCGGAGTGGCTCATTTTATTTGAGGGTCACACTCAACTTATATGCCCTATTTTTCCACAATTTCAGCACTTCAGACGACCAACAACGTAGTTGTTGCAGTCTCGAGTAAAATTAGTCCTACCACATTCTCAACATTTTGGGTTCCGTTCTGCAGTGGCTTTATTGACAGCGATTACGCATTTCCTGATTCGCCATTTTATTTCTAATATCATTTATCTTGTCGTACATACTCGTATTTATTGCTTCCTGTACTACTTGCACTTTTGTTTCATTTCTTCCTGAGCTGCTTTCAGTTCTTCTTTTATTTCTTCCTGTCCTTTTTTTTAGAAACTTCAATGGAACTCATTGATAACGTCGGATTTGTTCTTCTTTCTTGAAGAGCTTTCCAACGATACATTGTATGTTGGGGTAAGTAAGGATCGAAAGAAAAAACGATGAAACGCTTTGATTACGTAGGATTTGTTCCTTTTTTTTCTTCAACAATTTTATGGTCTGTTGGAGTAAGTCACGATTGGTAGAAACTTCCATGAAATTCTTTGATAACGTCGGATTTGTTCTTTCCTCAAGAACTTTCCAAGGATATTTAACATATTAGGGTTTGTCGCAGTCATCGGAAATATCCAGAAAATTTAGTGAAATTCTTCAATGACGTCAGATTCTTTCTTCTTTCTTCGAGACCTTTCCGACGGTATATCACTTGCTAGGGTTTCTTGCAGTCGATGGAAACATCCAGAAAATTGGCCGATGAACGCTCACTATATTTGATTGAATGCTTCAAAATCCTCCTCCTTCTCAAATCCTCTTCAATCTTCTTTAACCCCACACCTGACACCAAATGTCACGTATGTAAACACCTTCTCATACTAGTACTACTTTTACTTAACTATTTACTGTCTAATGAACACATTTATTGTTAATTAGCAATTCACCACTATATGAACACTTTGTTATTTCTTCGTTCCTTCTTCTTCGCTATGTATCATCTCGAACTTGTTCTCGTACTACTCACTCGATTTTGCAACAATTATTTGTTCTGGTCGTGTTCTAGAAGGATCCAGTATATGCCGTCTAGAAACCGGATCTTCTTTGCCACTATGTATGTTGCCTACATACATGTGACAATACTTTGAATTTTATAAAAAAGTATAGAATATGGAATTATGTCCAATACCAATACCAATTCAGTTGTCATTAAGTTATTTTTAGATAGTAGGTGGGTAACAAATTAATGTTTTGAAATCTTCCTAAAAATTAACCCTTATCGCAAACTGATGAGGGTCTGGGAAACCTGAAGGATCTATCGCCTAAATTCGACCAGATAAAAGTTCTTTTGTAAAGGAAATGTTCTCACACCAAGTTGTTAATTTTTTGGTAAATACGATATATCCAAACAAGGAGTAATAATCAAACGGCGATAACAAGCACGTTAAGCGATAATGGATACCCAACAATTTCCAGGTAAATGTTCTAACTTATCAGTGGAGAAGACATCATTTGAAACTGTTATAAACTTATGAATGGATCAAATATATGACATGAAAAAATAAAATAAATTCATTTTATGCACAAACGCTAAAAATATTCACAAAAGTTGGATTTTATGCAAAATATGTAATATTTAATATCGGCAATCATATTATTTCAGTGCAAAATAGATATATCCACAATATTAGGGTGATATTCCTAAAAAGATAAAATCCCAGTTCTAGTAATCACTTTTGTCAGTTGCCGTAGTCTATCTAGTTCCGATTTTTTTTTTTTTTGATTACATTTTTCAATTGTTGTCTTGCTCGAGCAGCGCATGCGCGTAAGAAGACCTTCAATAATTGAAGTCATAGTTGCCGCTGAAAACTTGCGTCCAGGTTTACACTTATTTAGCACTTTTGAACTTAAAATATTAACTTTCCGAATTTCATTTGTTTTCTTTTAGTGTCCTGTCCTCTTGTATCGAAGCGCACCAGTTCAAAGATTCGAAAGACACACATTAGTTATGTAGTGATTTTAATTTGTTAACTATCTCTTCATTTTTAGTTATTTTTTTTTACTTAACTTTTTATTATGAGTTTTTTATTCTTTATGTATTCGCTCAAACTGATGACCTAGGTTGATCCCTCAAAGGCCATAAGCCAATAACCTGATCAGAAATGAAACAATAAAGCTTCAAACCACAAAAAATGCACTTAATAGTATCACAATATTGTCAAACCTCTTAGAACACTGACAAAGTTATTTTTACACCACATCACCAAAATCCAGAACAACTGGACTGGGAAAAAGCAATAGAATTTAGTTTTACAAACGGAGGGCGTTCATCACGTTTATATGCACCTTTTATTACTCGTATTTCTAATTTTATTATGGTATATATATACTCTGTGTCTTCGCATTCTNAGAAAAATAAAAAGCGTAAATATCAATAATTTCTCTTCCAAGTACATGAACCCAACACAAACGTATATAATGAACGTATTGCCTTTAAGTTTGAAGTATTATCGGATAATCACACTGACGTAGGTCACAAAAAAAAAATAAAGGATAGAATAGATTAGATGAAATCGAATTTGTTGTTACAAATGGGAATAAAGTGAAATAAAAACAATGATAGGAATGACAGGAGAACGATTTAAGTTAATTTTAAAGTAAAAAGAAGAAAATTAGAAAAAGTAATCTGAGGGTAGTAGTAGTTGACTGAAGATAAGAAAAAAATAGGTAGTTCAGTTTTAGTTTCAGTTGTTGTATGAATTATTAAATTAAATTATTAAATTTTAAGTTATCAGACCATTGTGCAAAAGGATTGCTAAGCCACTTACTTGAGTCAATTTAATGGGTGATATGTACGAATTATGTATTAAATATATCTTCATTTTTACCAACAGATACATCTAACTACCAATTCTATCTTTAATTTTAACCTTAACAAAAACCACATATTTTTTGATCTGACAAAATCATGTTTTTTTATGATTGCGGCAGCATGGTTTTTTTGTAATTAATTCCACATCTTTACACCATGAAAGAGCACTCTTACATCCTTCCGATTCTAACGACTATTCCTCATTATATCAAATATTGAAGTAAAAACTATATTAGTGGTCTTCCAATAAAATTTTTCTGAGCTCCGACTGTCACACCGAGATAGGCATAATAAATTTTTAGTTATCGCAAGGATTATGGTGGATTACCTTTTTATTGGCAAATTATTTTTAGCGTAAAATTATGATTATGTATTTTACCTGCGCTTCTCCAAGCCCCAATTCAATCATTTCAGCACTCTGTTGAACTAATCCAACCCTTTCAGATGCAACAGGATCCGGGATATCTTGCATGCCTTGCAACATTCCAGCATGTTCAGTTCGAAGGGCTTCTAATCCTTGTGCTACAGTACGAACTGCAGAAACGATCTCTTCTTGAGTCATTGCGGTCATTTTAGCGAAATTTTCTATCCTTTTACTGAAAAAAAATAAACAATAAATGACTGATTACCTATTAATGCGTAATGATCACCAATTTAGATAAATTTTTAAATTATGTTGTAGGATATATCTAGATAATTAAGCAAATAATCAAACGTAGCAATAATTTTAATGTTGCTCTAGTTACCTACATGTATAACTCCAGAACAACTTTTAAATTGAATTAGTTTCGAAAACGACGAAAGGAAATATGGCGGTCGAATGCACAGCAGGTATCATACGCGGCCAACTGGGATTCAAATCCTGATCGTGCTTTATTGATGATATAATTAAACTGACAATATTAAAAGGTTAATTGTCTGCTTCTTAAATTTTTGTAACATTTGGTCCTTGTAATTAGTGTCTGATTAATATTTGACTTGAGAACTATATACTTGCGGGAATGTGGCACCAGAAAATAATACAAACACATAATATTTGTTATGTTTTGTACTAAACTTTATTCCTTCATGGCATTGTATAGTAATAGTATTTTTTATAGAATTTCGAGTTTTTTATTAAACAGGTAAGCCAAGGGAAAAAACCTATAATAGATAACAAGATAGTACAAGTATTTTTCAATTTATATATCGAAAATGCGATTAATAATATTAAAGACAATACACGTCTAGTGTTAGATATTCACAGTCATAAGATTAACATCCTTAGATAAGCGGATAACAATGGTGACAGTATAAGCATCTAGCAAGGAGGAGTTAGAGTTAACTTTAAATCAAATGGACCAAATTAATATAAATAAAACAAAAATATTGGTATACAAGGGATATAAAAGTAGGGTTAGAATTAGTATAAAAATAGGAAACTTGCTCAAATCAGCAGTTCCATGATCTCTTAGGTTTAGCACTGGTGCTACAAATTCATAGTTACAATTGTTCATATTTTCAGCTAAAGGTCGAAGATTTCTTATAGGATTGCTGAAAAGATTAAATTTTTCGTTATTTTTGAACGATATATTGTTAAAATAATCAAGAAATTTTTTAAAGGTGGTAAGTGATTTAATATTTTCTGAGCCATTGTGAATATGTGTGAGAAACGGGTACAAGTCAAAACGATAAAAGTAAACTGATGAGACTTTACTACAAACACGAAAAAACATGTGTCAATACAAAACTATAAAAAAGATACTATATCTATGTACAATCTTACTTCCTACTCTGCTCCTTACGTCTACTCCTCCTAACTATCGTTACCACCCTATTCCTACACAGAATCGATACACCGAAGACGAAACCATAACGGCTGCATTCGGTTGGTTAATCAGGCAATTTTGTAGGCAAACAAATTATTCATGAGTACGTTATTAAAGAAAGAATAATGAATTTAAATATACGTAAGTAAATGATTGAATTACTTTTTTTTAATCAACAGTGGTTCTTTAAATGAAACCTATCAATTAATACAATTTTCCAGATATGAATGACTGAATTAATTTTTTTGTAAATCAACAGTAGTTCTTTTGATGAAACTTATCAATTTATACGATTTTCCAGAACGATAGAGTGGAATTCAAAAATCATACCTATGATATGACGTGAATTTTAGAAAGGATAATGCTGCTAAAAGTAATGTTAGTAGTCAATAACAAATAAAATTAAAATCATTTTGAAACAATGTAACATGAAGAAGTGAGATGATTTTGCTTGGTAATACGAAATAAAAGAAGGCCGAAGTATGACCCTTGAGGTACACCGGGTGTTAATATACCACTTCTAATCCCGGACCATATATCGATTAGGTACGAAGATAATCATTTAAGTAAACTAGCAATTAAAACCAAAAGTATATAAATTTAATATGTGATCTAGTGAGACAGAGTGAAAGCAGTGATAAAGTAAGTATAAATACAGTCTATGGTCTTTCAGAGACTCGCTGAGATAGTCATTAAATGTCACGTATTAGAATATGTTAGTAGGATAGATCATTAGCTAAGATATGTGCTATGTTAGGACATACTACTGTACACATGAGAGGCTAGTTGCTTTGGATTAGGTTAGGTGTGATTGTGAAAGGGCCATAAGACAACGTGCCCGTCAACCTGGCGAGTGTTCTCAATCATTGACGACTCATTAATTAGGGTACTTTTTATACGCGGGGCGCTATCAAGAGATATACTCTGCAGTGCATCCAGATATAAAATTTTCAGACAGTGTATATATTGCAACGTGATCAAACATCTTCCACGTTATTACCAAATTTATTTAATGTCTACATAAATGTGGCATTGCCCTCCTCCTAAAACAGATCGTCCCGATCATTGACGTCGCCCTGTAGAGAGCAGGCCGGTCAAGATAGACGATCATTATTTTTGCCCGAGGTCCCTTCTGAATTCCATAAACATAGTCGTTGATACGTCAAGTAATGTTGCATGGACCATCCCAAGATTGTTGTATTTTCGAGTTACGTCCCTTCCGCCTTGATGGATTATATAGCCATACTTTGTCGCCCTCATTAAACCCAGCAGAATTAACTCTGCTATCGTATCTGGTCTTCATGCGGTCACTTTCAAATAGCAGCTTCGTACGCACAACATTACTAATGACTTTAAGTCGCCCTTGTTGTTCGCCCGGGTATTCATCTGTAGACACTGGAGAATCTCCAGGACGATCAATCCTCATGTCCGATGACAACCTGAATTCCTTCGTAAATAAAATGCAGGCCTATGTTCTTCCAGTTGTCTCATGAATTGCTGATCTATAAACTAAAAGGAATAATAGTATTTGTCGGTTCTAGACGACCCTTCTTAAGTTGGTCCCGTTAAACCATTCCATCAGATTGTGGTTGTAAGGGCGCAGTTCTTGTTTTTGTCAAGCCGATTCGAAATTCCTGCATCGGTCGGAATGCAATTCCAATGATACTCCATATCGGTTAATCCAGTCATTGACGGTGTGTGTTTCTTGATACAGTATTTCATATGCTTCGGGCCACTAGCTAAAGCAACTACCAAGATGTATCGGTTAATGGAATGGTTCTGCTACGTCGGCGACGATTCTCTCAAATGGCGCTTCCACGTTGTACTGCTGCATTCGTCCACAACTTCTTGTCTTCGGTCCCTTACTGCGGTGCACGCCGGACATTTTCTGCACCAGTTTTCCATATCAAGTCAATAAAATCGCTCGCGCACCTTTCCCAGGGTCTTCGTAACGTCAAAATTTCCTTCGTCAAGAATTGCTTCTAACACTCTGTAGTCCAAGGTAAGGGAAATCTACCGGGCCCAACAGCTTTCCGTTGCCTGGGTTAGATGGTTCACATCTGTCCACGATGGTCTTGAGGTTCCAGTTTTTTCTCTCATTTCTGGGCCAATATCTTCGTCTTTCCTCTGGTTTTCAATAAATCCCAATAAATTCCTTATCTTCTCAGGATCATTTAGGCTGAAGGGGAGCTGCTCATCCGGTAAGGGGGACTCGCTATGGGTTCGTGGTTTTTGGTGCTGAGGGGATGCACGGCGTGGGGTGTAGATGATTCGTTTTCAAAAAACTGCGCCGTAAAAAATTGACGGAGTAACGCGTTCAACTCTTCTCGTTGTGTTGGTGGCAGAAGCTGACCTTCGTCAAGATGAAGGTCCAGAATGGTGACCTAGAGAGACTCCACGGGAAAAACATTCAGTAGCAAGTCCACCTGATGGGCGGTTCAGTAGGAGTCTACGGCTTGTCGGGCACTCTCCATTATGTACACTGTCCGGGAGAACGGGTTGTGCAGAGAACGTTATAGAGGGTCTGGATCATAACAGGAGGGAAATTTTTTAATCACCTCGTCCGCAATATATGGAGATTGCGAGAGTTACTATCTTTAATGAAAATTTAATGGCAATCGAATTGAAATGAATGTATTGAAATTAATAAACCCTTATTTCTTGGTTTCACTCTATTAGAATTGTCAAAATTAAAGATGTGTGATTTCCATCATGGTTATGTTCAAAGTAAGATTTCTTCTTACTTTCGTCCGCAACTTTGCATGGATACGGATTCCTTAATTTACCAATTTACGCAAACCGATTATAATATTAAAATCTCTATTTATGTCAAAGACACGGTATCGCAAGCGATTGTCCTATTGATAATAAATGGCGTATACCGCTGTTCAATAAAAAAGTTCATTCCAACATTTGTAGTGGTGTTAATATAAACAAAATTGGGTCGGCATCTTCAGGTAAATAGCAAAAATACCCTAACGCAATTGTGGGTTTGTGATTGAATTAAGTAGATCACATACGCCAACCACAGTTGTAACGTGAAATTGCTACAAAACCTGTAAATACGCCAAAAAGCAACAAAAAACTAATGAACCAAAAAAACGATAAAAGAAAGTACTGGTTTCGAAGAAAGCAGATCCGCAGTAGATAGTAGTAAATCCAATATAGATCAAAAAATTAAAAATCTTGAAGGGATACGAAACGAAATGAAAGACGGATTCAAGGAAGTAAAAGAGCAAAATGATACTGCGGGAGAAATTGAATGTTAAAATAGAGAACTTCAAAATATAAGAGATGAAATTAATAAAAATGAAAAAGAATGGCAATAAGAGAAACAAGAGATAAGATGGAAGAATAAAGGGCAAATTATAAAAGACAATTTTATGTTGTTATTTTCAGGAGAGGAAAAACAAGGTAAAAATGGAGTTGCTTTTATGATAAGTCCAAAATGAAAATCAATATAATATATTTTAGACCTAGTAGTGGAAGAACATCCATATAAAAGCAAAAACCTTCAACATATCTGTAATAAATATTTATGCACCCACCGAAGATACAAAAGAGGAAGAAAAAATGAAATTATATGACGAGATCGAAGAAATTAACTATACAAAATCAAAATATGACACAATATCAATTATAAGAGATTTTAACCCACAAGATTATGTAATCTAGCGACAAGTAATGGGATGATAGTAATAAGTACAAAGTTTCTACTCAAAAACAGATGGAAATCATGGAGTAACATCAAAAGACAATCGCCAATCAGGGACAACGAAATGAAGTAC